CGAGGATTAAGTCATTGGGGAAGGGACGAGGCAGCCTAGGCTGGGCTCTTCCCCCAGGATGCTTGGCCATCTCTGGGAAAGGGACTTGGGGGGAGCCTGGGAGCAGCCAGTGGGAATGGTAGCGGCTGTCAGAGGCTGTCACAGTGGCGGGGAGGTCAGGAGGGCCTAGGCAGCCTTTGTGTGGGGGTGGAAGCCACAGACTCTCTCCTGAGCCCAGATGGAGGCCTGGGCTGCAGCTGGATGCGGGAAGCCGGCTTTCCAGGGGAATCATGGGAGTGAATGCAGGCCGTGTCTCCACTGTCTCTGCTCACTTCCCCTTTGGTACCAGGCTAGATATTCTCCTTATCCTGTCCCCGTTTCCTTTTTCCCCAGAGGCTCGTCCAAAACAGAGGAAGCCTGCGAAATCTACGCCAGAGCAGCAAACATGTTCAAAATGGCCAAAAACTGGAGTGGTATGTGATCGCTGCTAGAGCGCCGCCGTGCTTTCTCGTCCTTTCCCTCAGCTTCCCGCCCCCCGGGCCTGGGGGAGCCCAGCCTCGCAGCCCCCCTCCTTTTAGGCTTCTCCAGCGTCAAAGCCTGTGGGCCTGCTGTCCGGTCGGTAGAGCCCACTGGGTTATCTTACAGCTTGGCTCCCTGGGCCTTGGAGAGAGGACGGAAGGGATGAGGACGGATAGATTACTGAGTCCAGGTGGACCCGCATGGGTTGATGAGCCCTTCCAGGGGTTTCTCCTTAAATTTAATATATCAGGTTTCTCCGGACACTGTTTCATACTGCTTCCAGCAGAGTCTGAATTCTGAGCTGGGGGGACGGTCAAGTGGTCCAATGACAGTGATCACAGTTACCACTTATCAGGCACCGTACTAAGCACTAGGCAGGTATTATTTAATTGAATCATTGCAGCAACCCTACGAGGGTCAGTGCCATTCATTAATTTTCCCATTTTACGGATTCGGAAACTGAGGCTTGTCCTGGCCCCTTGTCCAAGGTGCCACAAGTAGTAAGCGACAGGACAGAATTCAGAAGCCAGAGCAGGGCCGGGTGTTTAACCTGCTCCTGCGATGCCTCATGACCTTTGGAGCTGAGTGACTTGGGTTTGTGTCACAGCTCAGACTGGCCTGTGACCCTGGAAGTTACTTGGCCTCTCCTAGTAAGTTTACACTCACGTGTGTTTCGCCCTCAGTACCACGGCAGGGAAGTGGTTGAGACCCAATGGGGCCGTGGTGTGGGTTCATGGAGATCAGGATCACCAGCGAGGACAGTCAGTGAGGGCAGTAAATGAGGCGGCACAGTGTCATGTAATGCTGCAGGCACCTCCACCCGGGAGAGGTCACCCCAGGTCAGGCGCCTCCTGAGACACTCCTATGTTGGTGGGCGGAGTGTCATCCGCTTCATGGCTCTGTGACTCGGCCCTGAGTTTGGTCCGATTCCCAGGAGCTTGGTCGGCAGGGAGCTGCCTGAGGCCCGAGGAGAGGTTTGAAAAGCCAGGGCGTGGAGCCCACCGGGGGCTGATTTCATAAAATGACTTGGAACATCTGCACAGTCGGATCAGGGAATCGAGCAAAGACAAAGTTCCTCTCTGGGAGGCACAGGGTAAAATCCACTATTGTCATTTTCTGAGAATGTTTCCGCTTCCACAAAACACAGTGTGCGTAAAGGAAGGTGCTACGTGGATGTTTATGCTCCAAGCTCGGGAAGTGCTTGAAAAATACTTATTTTTCAGTCACACAGATGTTGCTTTTCCCTAGAAATTTGTAAACCAAAGTTCATACAAATTCCTAGGCCACTTTTTTTCTTTTTCTTTTTTTTTTTTACCTTTTCTGCAAATTTTACACTCAAGTTTCTAGCCCTTAAACATAATAAAGAACTCATACATCGTAAAACCCTGGGCGGCTTTGTCTGTCCTGCTGCTCTGAAGTTCCAGGGCCGGGGCCAGGCCCTCCCGTCCTCTTCCAGCTCAGCAGTTCTGTGACGTGGACTCAGCCGGAGGCGGGTGAAGGGAAGCACCTCAGAGCAGCTGAGGTGGCTGTGGGGGTCTCAGCACAGTCCCCACCCCTGGGGGAGAGACCCCAGTGTCTCCTGCAAGTCCCTTTAGGAGATGAGAGCAGAAGCAGAATGGCTGGGACCCAGGAAGGTGACAGTGTGCAGGAGTACAGGATAGACTGGGCTTCGGGTGCGTGGCCTCCTCGTGTCCCAGGTACTCAAGATCTTGGGGTCTGCGTCCTGTTTCCTGATCTGGACGGGAAGCTCCTAGAGGGAGCAGACCCTGTATGCCCCCCATGTACCTCATGATTAGTGTGGTGCCTTGCCCACACAACCTGCAGTGACTCTACACAAGGGACTAGAACGTGGACAGAGGCAGAGGAGTATGGGGAGTTAGGAAGAGCTGGGAGTCCTGGGGGGAAGAAATCGGACGTGGAGTTGGGGAGTAACTCAGGAAGTGTTTCAGAGTTGAATCTCAATTGCCCTCTCTTCCCCAGCACCCCTGCCTGTCCCCCTCCCATGATTCAGCCTGCTCTCTGCCTTTGAGTAGGGTTCCGAGCCCTGTGCCTGCAGGCTCCCCAGGGGGCACTGCAGGCTCAGGGAGCCTGAGGCCTAGGCCCAGACCTCAGCTCACCCAGGCCGCTCTGTTCCTTTCTCCGGGGCGCCCTGTATTCCTGAGCGCTCCCAGGGCAGTGTCTGCGTGGCTTACGAAGCCTGGAGCCCCACTCAGGCCAGGGTCACTTTGTTTCTGTTGCAGCTGCCGGAAACGCCTTCTGCCAGGCAGCCCAGCTGCATCTGCAGCTCCAGAACAAGCACGACGCCGCCACCTGCTTTGTGGACGCCGGCAACGCGTTCAAGAAAGCTGACCCCCAAGGTGAGGGCCAGTCGGCCACCGGGGCTGGCTGCCCGAGCACCAGCTGAGCGCTCTGCAGACAAGTTCTCAGGTTTCCACGGGCTCCGTTTTCTCCAGGGGCCGACACGCGATAGGCTGGCAGGGAGCCCCTCGCGCTTTAATTTCAGAGCTGGCTCCCTTCCGGTGGCATTTTCATCCCGCTCCAAGCCTCCTCCTCCCCTTCTACTGTGCGTGCAGCTGATCGCTCCCCTTCCGCTGCCTGGGAGCATTTGGGAGTGGGAGTTACATTTCAGACCCACCGCATGCCAAGGGGAGAGGAAAATCTGTTCTCTTGTCAGATTGACGTGCAGAAGCCGGTGGAGGGCTTCGGAGACCAGCCAGGTAGGAGTCACTTCCGGAGAAGGAGAGGAAGTGGCCCTAACCTGGCTTCCCTGAGGGGCCCGAGGGGGAAGGGAGAGGCTGGGAGAGAAGAGCCTGAGATGTAGCTGCCAGAGAACAAGTTTCCTCAGATGACGTGTTGGGGACAGAAGCCCCAACTGGGTCTCTGTCACTGTGAAGAACACGTTTTGTCCCACGGGGCTCATCCGGAAGCAGAAGCCCAGTGGGTACCAGACTTTCGATTTCATGGAGCTGGGGTTTTAATTTGCTTTTTAAGTCTTGATGCCAGACATAGGTTGCTAACTTTTACTTTTAGCAAGCAAAGAGTTTTGTTTTTTTTATAAAGACTATCTATTGTCACTCTCTTATGAGAATGGGAAAGACATGCTTTTTAAAAAAAAGGAGACACATAACCTTGGAAGAAAGGCCTGTTCTTCCCAAGAGGGGACCGTTGTCAGCAGTACACAGCGGTCTCTGGGAGGGCCAGTGAGCACCGGGTCACGTGCAAGCGCGGGGGATCGCTGGCAGGCCCACGTTGCTGTCGGGGACATTCATTTGATTCCCAGGATTTGGTCTCTGTGTAAACCGCGTAGCTTTTCTCTGTCCTTAGACTTGACCAGCCCCTCCTCTGCCACCGGGGGTCTCACAGATGTTGGTCTGAGTGCTAGGCTCAGGCTCAGCAAGAACCCGAGGGGGGCGCTGACTGGGGGGCTCAGTTGGTGGGAGTGTTGTCCCAGACCCAGGTCAGGGCACATACCCAGGTTGCTGGTTCTGTCCCTAGTCGGGGCACATATTGGGAGCACACCGATCGATGTTCTCTCTCTCTCTCTCTCTCTCTGTCTCCCTTCCTCTCTCCCTAAAATCAATAAAAACATATCCTCTGGGGAGGATTAAAAAAAAGAGCCCGAGGGGAGGGCTTGTGACTGGTGGATCCTTGTCACTCCTTGCACAAAGCTGAGTGCTGGGCCACCGCAGGCCACGTGGGTGAGTGACATGACCCAGGCCATCCTGGGTTTGTTTTCAGCTGGAGTCACCCAGAGACGTCTGTGTGTCGTTGTCCCCACGGAGTCCCCCCGCCCCATCCTTCCTTCTGCTCCCTGGGGAACTGGTTGACCTGGAGTTGCTGCCCTGGCATCTGTGATGTTCGGCTGCTGCTCCCGAGTGACTGGAAGGACTTGTTTCTGGGGCGGGAGCAGAGTGCCAGGCCACGTAACGTGTGCACGGCACCAGCTGCTCTTTAGACAACCCAGCGCTTCCCATGCACCGGCCCCACCTGGCCCTCTGATGTCGTGCCCTTCCCTGGCTTTTGATCCGAGTTTCCTCATCTCGGCAGGCTCTGCAGGGTGTGTGTTGGATGTGGCCAGGGCCTGGCTGTAGGAAGCACAGAGGGTGGCAGAGTCCTCAGGCTGGTGGGAAAGCAGCAGGAGGTGTGGTGATGGTCCCCTCGTGGGGCACAGAGGCCGACTTAGTTTCTCCAGGGAGCAGCAAGCACGGTTTGCTGCTCTGGGAGCTGAGATGAGGGGAGTGGGGGTGGTTGGGGTGGTTGGGTCGGGGGGATCTTGTGGGGGAAGAAGAGGGGCAGCAGAGCAGAGAACAGGGTAATTTGGGCAGAGCTGGGACCAGGTGCCTTGTCTGGAGCCCAAATAAGGGTGCCTGGTGCTGAGGACGGGCGGGGCTTTGCAACGGCATCCCTGCACCACTGCCTCATGGATGCCACCCCCAGTCACAACTCTGCGTTGGGGACCATTCCAGCCAGCGTCAGGGGAGAGGGCACATTTGCACCAGGAGTAGCAGCTGCCTGGTGTCCGTGGCAGCTGTGTGGCTCAGTGGGTCTGAGAGGTCCGGGAGGAGCTGCTCTCCTGCGACCTTGGACAGGTCACTTAATCTGTTGGATCTGCATTTCCTGGTGGTAAAGGAGAGATCACACGTGAGATAAGGCGAGGGCATGCCCAGGGTGGCACCTGGCATGAGATAAAGTCCCAGGAGGGGCAGCCTGGCCTGGGCTCAGCCTCCACCCCCTGGCAGCCTGCCCTGTGGAATAGCTGGAGGCCCTGTTTGGAACCGGGCCCTCTTTCCCCAAGCAGGTGATCCGCTCCTTGGGGCCTCGCTGATCACCTCCCAGTCCTGATCACCTCCCAGTCCGTCCTATGTGAGCACTTCCTGCAGGAGCCCTGGGGGGCCTGCCCCTTCTCCCTCCCCCTCCCCCTCCAGAGGCAGCTGGTGCCAACCTGGGCCTGAGGCCTGCCAGAGCCGCCCAGGCGGGGAAAAGGATTTGGTTCCTGTCATCACGCTCTCCCTCTGGCGGAGGGGGGGTGGGATCTGCCCTCATATGGGTTGGGGGTGGGGAGGTGACACCCATAGCTGTCAGTGGTTCCCCAGAGTTTCCCAACCACTGTCTGCCGCTCTGGGTGGACTCAGGCCAGGGAGGCCTCTTACCCCGCCTGCCTGACAGTTGGGCCCAGGGGTTCATGCATGTGCGCCCAGGACAGGGAGGTGACCAGGCCCCCATTCCCCCTCCCCCTCGTACCCCATGCCACTGCCGTTTATTGGATGCCTACTGTGTCCGAGGTCCGGGCATCTTCCTTTAATCTGTTCCACTTCCTGTGCGGTTCCGGGATTTGCCCGGTTTATCATGGAGACTGGCCGTGTTGGGGTGGACTGCAGGAGTGGGATGGAGTTGGCTGGATTGAGGCCCTGGGTTGCAGACTCCCTGTGTCCCTAAGCCAGGGCCTCCCCCTCCCTGGGCCTCAGTCCCCCTCTCCTCATCCTGGGCTGGATCATTCCGAGTCCCTTTCCAGGCCCAGTTTTCTGTGGGTAGATAAGGGCGGGGAGGGGCGGGTGGAGATTCTGTGCTCATCCAGGGGTGTGCTGGCCACTCATCCTGGGGATCCCCGTGACCTGATAAGATAAGCTGGTTGTAGCCACTGTGTCAGGGGCTTGCCAGTGCTCTTGCCAGGGTGTCAGTGGGGCCTGCTGCTTTCAGGAACAGCTGCCATGGAGCGAAGAGCAGGGAGGAAGGGGATTTAACTCTGTGAGTCCGTGTTGCTGCCAGAGGTGGGGGAGCCTCCCCTGTTACCCCACCAGGGCCTCCTTGCTGACAGGCTTCAGGGCTTCCGGCCGGTTAGGCCCCCAGGGCAGCTGCAGGGGTTTCCAGCCCCTCCCACTGCGGCTGCTAATGGCACTGGGAACAGCCTTGCCACCTCTGCCTGCAGGTGCCCTGCTGGACTCCCAGCGGCTCAGGAGAGGGAGTGGGGGAGTAGTAGGGTGCCTGCTGGTCACACCCACCCCTGGGGTGGAAGCCAGAACGGGTGGGATTTGCAGGGCCCACTCCCTGCAGCCCAGCTGCTCACTCCTCCTCATCCCCATCATGGTGGTGCAGCCAGTTGCTAGCTTATCAGTTACTTCCAGAAAAGCTGTTACAAAATGTGTGTGTGTGTGAAAGTCACTCTTACTGTTTTCCGCTGTAATTTTTTGTTGTGTTCTCTCCCTGCCCTCCTCTGCCCCCTTTTTGCTCCTTTTCCTCTTCCCTGCTGCCTCAGGCTTCCAGCTGTCAACTGCAGCCTTCGCCAAATGGTGTCCATTCTCTGGATCTTTGGGGGTGTCCAGAGGCCTTTCGGACTTGGACAAAACCTCTAGATCCCCTCCCTCCCAGAGCAGTGCTTACAGACGCGCATCTTGCAAATGTAGGAGGCGTGAATACTCCCCGCAAGCCCGGCCCGGAGCTGAGTGCCAAGTTCTGATGTTGCCCTGGGTAGTGAGGCTATAAGCCCCTTGAGAGCAGGCACCAGGCCTTACACCTCTTTGTGGCATCTCGGCCCGGTGGGCTTGGCTGACTGGAGCCCCGGGAAGCAGACCGGGAGCCTTTCGAATGCCCCGGACTGCAGGGCGAACTTTCAGCCTTGGCTCGGCTCAGACCCTCATCCCGGGGTCTGTCCAGGCTGTCTCTGCCTCCCCCTACTCCCTCTCCTCCTGAGATGCATTAAAACGGTGTTAAAAAAAATGCACCCAAGAGCTCATCTCTGTCTGCCAGAAAATGCCTCCCACACATGCTTCTCTCTTTCCTCCAAATAACTTGTCAAAGGAAAAAGCCATTCCCAAATTTAAGATCTTGCAAGAGCCCAGCGGCATGGCTCAGTGGTCGGTGTCCTCCTATAAACCAGGGGGTCACAGTTAGATTCCCGGCCAGGGCGCAGGCCCGGGTTGTGTGCTTGATCCCCAGTAGGGGGCGTGCAGGAGGCAGCTGATCAATGATTCTCTATCACTGATGTTTCTCTGTCTCTCCTCCCTTCTTCTTTGAAATCAATAAAAATATATTAAAAAATAAAATAAGATCTTGGAAGAGATAGTACAACAAAGGTAGCCCAATTCCTTCTCTCAAGTACCGCCCTACTGTGTGTGTGTTTTGTTGGCAAACCTGTGGTGTGAGGAGCTGGTGGGGATCAGTGCCAGGTTAAGGAGGGTGCAGAGGGCTGAGTGCTGAGGTGGGAGCAAGAGAGTAATGGAGAGTCCAGCTGGAGGGGCCTCCTCCTGCCATAGATGGAGGCCAGACAGGTGCAGGGGACGTGGTGGGTTCAGGGTCCGCAATGAAAGGGTGTCCCTCAGGCGTCAGGCATGGCCGCCCCTTGCCAGCAGCTCTGCTTTGGAGAGTAAAGCCTTAGAAGCCTTAAAAGATCTGGCTCAGAACACCCAGGGGAGCCTGGCCATCGGCCTGACCTGGCCCGAGCCGTGTCCTGTCCCTGGGGTAACTGGGAAGGGGTTGGCTTTGTGGCAGCTCCAGGGAGAGGACAGGCACGTCAGCCAGGCTCCCCCCGGAGCATGTGCCCAGCAAGTCAGGCTGCGGAATAAATTAGTCTGACCACGTTTCCTGGGCTCAGGGATTCCTTCCCCTTCGCTCCCAGCGGTTCCCCTGGAGAGTGGAAAGCAGAGCGTAGCCCTGGCAACTCTATTGATCTCGCAGGCGCCTCAGCCCTGCATCCCCCCTCTCCCAGCTTCTGCCCAAATGACCTGGCTTTCTCACTTCTCCCTGCCTCCCTTTTTCTCTCCCCAGAGGCCATTAACTGTTTGATGAGAGCAATCGAGATCTACACAGACATGGTAAGGGTCGCTACAAGTCCTGGTCCACATGTTGCCCCAGCCTCACCTCCCAGCTCCACCAAGAGCAGGCAGAGGGGGGGATTTGTCACCTGCACTGGGCTGGGCTGACTGGGTCCTCACCGGCTCCCCCCCCCACCCGGCCTGGCTGCTGGCAGTAGCTTCCAGCACGTCCCGGAGGCCATCCTTGTCTTCATTTGTAGAAGTTAAGGTTCCTGGGGACATGTGTCCTTTTCCCCTTGCCCACCCTTCCCCACCAGCATCCTATCTGATTCCCAGCTCACAGCAGCCAGAGGGGGGTGTGGGCAGCGCCCAGAGTGGGCACAGCCCCTGCCCTGCCCAGGGGACATCCCCATGGACAGATGAGGCCCAGAGAGGCGGCCGGCCCGAGGCCAGGGGGCCGAGACTGGGGACCACAACCCGGCTCAGGCCCTGTGAACTCTACCTTTTGCCTCTTCACATTCCACCTGTCTCAGACCCCTCCGCCCGGGCAGGAAGGGGCCCTGGCCCCGCAGGTCCTGGCGATGCTGCAGTGTCAGTTACAGCAGCGGCCGCAGCTGCCATTTATTGGCCCAGACACTGTGCACGGGGTCATCTTCCGACCACAGCCCTGTGAGGTGGCGCTGGTTAGTCCGTGACAGGAGAGGGGCCCGCACAGTGAAGTGATGCCCAGGGCACACACCTGCAGACAGGACTGGCTGAGACCCAAGACTAGGCCTGGCTGGGCTTAGGGCCTGACCCTTTCCTGCTGCCTGAGGCGTGGGGGTGGCTGTGAACCAGCCCGTGTGTGTGGAGCAGCTGGACAGGCACCTGGACCCCCACTGGGTGGAGGCGGGGGGCGGGGAGCTGGAGGCCTCCACAGGGAGGTGGAGGGGGATTTGCTTGTGAGCAGCCACCTCGATGGCCACACTGGGGGAGGGGAGGCCAAGGCCTTGGGCGGTGGGGACACTCGGGCCCTCAGCCCCGGTTTCTCCAGAGCGTTGGTCCCATGGCTGCTCTGGGGCTTCTGTTAAATGCTGCTTCCAGCCAGGCCCTGTGCCAGGTGCCTCTGCACCGCCCCCCACCTGTGCACCGTGGACAGAGGGAAGGGGGGCTGGGTGTGGAGGGTCTTGGTCAAGGTCACCAGTCAGGGCAGCACTCAGACCTGGGCCTCTCACTCTAGAGCCTTCCTTTTAAGTCCCATGCCCTCTGCCCCTCAGTGCCCTCCTCTGCACACCTCACCTCACAAGTGCAGCTGAGGGGCAGGGAGCCACAGCTTTGGGGACCAGCGGGGGGCATGGCGTGGTCGAGCTGGTGTGGGGCACTGGCCACAGGCATTCCCTCCCCGTGTCCCACACAGGGCCGGTTCACCATCGCAGCCAAGCACCACATCTCCATCGCTGAGATCTACGAGACGGAGCTGGTGGACATCGAGAAGGTGAGGGGCCGGGGGGGACAAACAGAGGGGGCTGCAGCCAGTCATCTGGGACGTGGACTCCTCTCTCTGCCCTGTTCCCTCAGGGAGTCCTCTGGTGTCTGAGCACCGGGGAAGGGGCGTGGGCGCTGGCAGAACTTGGGTGAGGGCTCTGGCTGTGTCCCGGGGCTGCCGGTGCGGCATGACCCCCTCTCACCCTCCTCCCTCCCGCGTCGCCCAGGCCATCGCGCACTACGAGCAGTCTGCAGACTACTACAAGAGCGAGGAGTCCAACAGGTACCCAGGGACCACTCCCCTCCTGCCGCCCAGCCCCTAGCGCTTGCCACCAGCCACCGCCAACCTCTCCCTTCCGCCCCGCACAGCTCGGCCAACAAGTGTCTGTTGAAGGTGGCTGGATACGCCGCGCAGCTGGAGCAGTATCAGAAGGCCGTTGACATCTACGAACAGGTGGGGACCGTGGGGCTCCGAGCCCTGCTCTCTGCGGAGGGCGCTGCTCCCTATCCTGTGTGCCAGTGCCCCTTCCTCCCTCTGCCACCTTCTCTATCCCCCCTCCCTCCCTTTCTGTCCACCTCCCCCTGTCATCCCCTCGCCCTAACTCTACTCACCTGGCTAAACATTTCCTCCACCCATGGCCCCCGTGTACTGTGCCCTTTCCCAGCCTAGCCCTGTCCTCAGGGAGCTTCCTGGCCGACCCCAGAGTGAGATGACTCTGAAGAACCAGAGTCGGGGAGGGAACGGGAAGCGTTGCCGAAGCCTGGGGAGCCCAGAGGAAGGGGGTCAGGGAAACGGACCCTCCCACGGCTTCACGGGCTCCTCTCCACTGTGTGGGGCGGGCTGGGCGGGGCCCAGGCTGTCCTGGTAGGTTCATGGCCAGGAGAAAGGCAGGCAGCTCAGAGGAGAGTGGGGCAGGCACCGCCTTGTGTTCCTTCAGCCTGCCGCGCCTCTGCCCCTGACATGCCAGCCTCCTGTCAGGCCTGATAGTGGGGCCGTCTCTCACCATCTTAGGCACCTGGGGAGGCCCACAGACACCTGGCCCTGTGGCAACACCCGCCCCCCCGTTATGTCTCGGTCCTTGGTCACGCATGTACCCATTGCCAGCTTCCCTGGGGCTGGTCCCTGCCTCCCTGCCCTGGGGTCCTGGTTAGTAGGTGTTCTCCTGGGGCCCAGACCCAGCCTCAGTGAGCCCCCCAGTGCCTGGCAGTGACCCTGGCCCTCTGGCTGCCTGCCGGGAGCTCACAGTGCAGCCACCGTGTGCCCACAGGTGGGGACCACCGCCATGGACAGCCCCCTCCTCAAGTACAGCGCCAAGGACTACTTCTTCAAGGCGGCCCTCTGCCACTTCTGTATCGACATGCTCAACGCCAAGGTGAGCCCAGCCAGAGCCCACCCCCGCCAGGTGGCCACTGGGGCACTGGGGCACTGTCACTAGGCCAAGGCCCCTCTCAACGCCTCCGAAGGGGTGAGCCCCTCCCTCACATCTGGCCCCTGACAGTGGGCCTTGGGCGAGAACCCGTGTGCTCACTGATGTCACCGGCCCTGCTGAGTCTGAGTTTCCGGCTCCCGACTCACTCGGTGCCAGGCCTTCCTTCCGTGAGAGCACGTTTTGAATCCTTACTGCTCCCCGTGAGGTCGGCATCTCTGTCACTCATTTTACAGGTGAACACCCAGGCTGAGACCAGAGTCTCTTGTTCAAGGCCACATGGCTGGTAAACAGCAGCCCCAATTCCAGATCTCTCTGATCCCGGTCTCACGATGTGAACCGTAGCCTGCATGTCCGCCTACCCATCTTCAGTTCAGGACCCCTTGGCAAGAGGGGCAGGAAATGCCCAGGGGAGGAGTGAACTCCTGAATCAGGGTTTCTTAGGGGTTTCCAGCCACCCTACCCGCAGCCTGGCACGTCTGAGCCCCCAGCCCTGCTCCCTGCATCGGACCCCCTCAGATCCCTGCCCCCTTGCTCACCCCGTGCCCTGAGCAGGTCACTGCCTTCTCTGGGTGTTTCCTATAAAGTGGGGCTCTCTGTCATTTGATAGTTATATGAAACGTGCCCAGCACCAGGCCTGATGTGTAAGACGTACTCAGGCAGTTGTCACTGGCCCTCCCCTGGGTGAGCCTGGTTCAGGAGACAGCACTGGGCCCTGGCCCGGGAAACGCTCCGTACATCCTCCCTTGACTCCCGGCAGCTGTCTCTGCAGCCAGGCTGGCGCTGAGCTCAGCTCCTTGGAGGCACCGCTGGGCACAGAGCCAGGGGCCATGGAAGTGGGGGAGGGGCAGAGCTGACTCAGGATTCAAGCCAGCCTAGATCCCCTGCGCTGTCAGGCCAGTGGCCTCAACAGCCCCTTTATCGGCTGTCCCCTTCCTTCCTTCCTTCCCTCCTTCCTTCCGCCCGCGCCACGCTCAGATCGCTGTCCAGAAGTACGAGGAGCTGTTCCCCGCTTTCTCCGACTCCCGGGAGTGCAAGCTGATGAAGGTGCGAGCTGACCCCTTTCCCTGCCCTTTTACATCCGGGCCTGGGAGTGGGTGGTTGGGAGCCTGCAGGTGGGTGGCGGCGCTCCAGTTAGGAGGCTCACCGAGGTTATAGTGGTTCTCAAGGGGTTTTCGTTTTGATTTTGTTTTCCCTCTTCTGCCATTTGGAGCTCCATTTTCTGGATAAAATCAGACTCAGCAGTGAGAAAGCTAGTAGAGGCTGAGCTGGGACACACGCACACACGCACGCGCATGCACACGCACGCATGCACGCGCACACACGCACGCACGCACGCACGTACACACGCGCACACGCGAGTGAGAAAGCTAGTAGAGGCTGAGCTGGGACACGCATGCACACACAGACACGCGCACGCACACACGCACACACGCACGCGCACACACACACGCACACACGTGACCTGTGTCCATGAGCTTGCAAGCAACTTCCAACACAGGCAGGATTGGGACGGAACCCTTTCCTTCCTGTCAGCATGGAGTCCCCCGATTTCCCTCCATCCAGGTGTGTACACGGATCTAACCTGCCTGTCATGTTCTTGCAGAAATTGCTAGACGCCCATGAAGAGCAGAACGTGGACAGCTACACCGAGGCGGTGAGTGGCCGGCGGGGGGCCGCCCTTCTCAGACACGCTCTGCCGAGAATTTCAACCTTTTTAACTCTGGCCTTGGCCCCTGGCTGTGAATTCCTGTCTGTAGACGCCCCAGAATCTCGCGAGTCACCCCCAAGAGGTGCAGGGAGTATTCCCCCCATTTTAGAGATGATGGCACTGAGGTTGAGAATGAGGAGGGGACGTGTCCTTGGTCCCTCGGGGACAGAGCTGGGTTCAGGTCCACATCTGTCCGGCCCTGAAGACCAAGGCTGCGCCCCTGGAATCCCCCTGAGTGAGCGGCTGGGGGCCACCTCACCAGCTGCGGTGGGTGACCCAGGAGCCGAGAGGGAAGGAAATGAGCCGGCAGCCTCCCCCTTCGCGGGAGCGGGAGGGAGGCGGAGCTGAGATGGCATTGGAGGGCCCATTCTTCCAGCAGCCGGTTCCTCATAGAACTGCCCCAGCTGCTTCTAAATGTTCCGGAACTGGTGTGTCCAGCTCAGGACCTGATCTGGTCATCCAGACAGCTGAGTGCCTGCCCCTCCGGGTTCTCGGCCCCTATGATGACAGACCAGCTCCCTCTGGTCCCTCTGCCCCGACAGTGAAAGCTCCTCAAGGAGAGGGGGGATGAAGGGTGTGGGTTCCCGGGCCTCCCCTCCCCTGTGGCACCCGGGACAGGCCTGGTCACATCTCCAGGCCTCAGTTTCCCATCCATAAAACAAGAAAGCTGGGCCTTTCTTAAGCTACAAAGTTAATTATTATCCTGAAAGGGAACCACCGGGCCTGCGGCCTCCCTTGCTCCTCCTCAGGCCACGGCTGGCAGGGACACATCTGGAGAAACTTGGGAGCAGAGACCTTTGGCTTCAGGGCTGGGACAGGCAGGGAGCCAGGGCCAGGTGTGGGACTAGCCACCTGTCACCATAGTCACCATTGCGGGTGTGCCACAGGTGAAGGAGTTCGACTCCATCTCCCGGCTGGACCAGTGGCTGACCACCATGCTGCTGCGCATCAAGAAGACCATCCAGGGCGAGGAGGAGGACCTGCGCTAAGCCCCGCCCCCGGCACCTGTCTTCAGCCCCTCTGCTTTCCCCAGTGGCCCCTCCAGACACTGCGTGAGCCCCGAGAGGTGGCCCAAGACCTGGCTGGGACCTTCCCTCCCTTCCCCCCAGGAGGCTCGCAGGCCACAGTGCAGGCTCCACACTGCCTCGGGGCCCTGGAGGCCGGCCTGCTGGCTACACAGTCACCCTCTATTCTCGCACCCCTCGTCCCTCCCCGGCCCGTTTATTTAAGCCCCAAAGAGACCCTTTTCCACCCCGAAGCACAGAGTCTGTGGCATAGACCGGTCAGCTGTGGGTGCCGCCAGGGGGTGGGGTCAGCATCTGACCCTCCATCGCCTGACCGGCTGGGGCCGGAGCGTGAGGTTGGTTCCTGTCTCCCCACTTCTGTCCCCCAGCCAAGCGCTGAGCACATGCAGCAGCAGCTGAGATTGGCTCTCTGCTGTGGGGGAGTTCCCCCTCCCCCCAGCACCGGGAGCCTCCCAGCCTCCTGCCGCCCAGCCTCCCAGGAGAGACCCCAGGCCCCGGAGCAGGGGTCATCCTGCACCCGCCCCACATCTGCTGCCATTGTGCTCTGAGGTTTTGTTTGGGGGGAAGCTGCAACTGGCCCCCAAAAGAAAATAAAAAACAACACTTTTGCATGAGTCTTCCTTCCTCTTCACCTCTGCGACCCCCTCTTTCAGGGCTAGAGTCCAGTCTCCTGGCCCCCACTGGTCTCTGATCACACTGGGGAGAGGAGGCCCAGGGATGGTGGGTTTGGGGAGGAGCCGTGGACTTGGGAGCCTGGGAACCTCCCGTCTTCATCTGTGAGCCCTGGTTTCCTCAGCTGGGCAGGTGGCTGGCAGTGCCACCCTCAGAGCAGCTGGAGGATGGGGGCAGCAGTCACGTAAGAAGGTGGAAGAGGCCCACGGAATCTCCCAGCCTCACCCACGTCCACAGGCCCAGGGGGAGCACTGCAGGCCCCGGTGGCACCTGTTCTACCCGTCACAGGATGGTGGGGAGAGCGGCTTTGGTGGCAGAGTACAGGACCCAGTAGGTGTGGGGAGTGGGAGAGATGACAGGATCCCTTTGCCTGGGAAGAATGGGCAAGGACTACCCACCTCCACACTCCACGGTGCAGGCTTGTGAGTCAAGTGAACATCTGTGCACGTGCCTCCTTCCACCCCTCATGGGGGCGGCTGGAGGCGGCCAGAGGCAGGCGGTGTCACCGGGCAGCTCCTCAGACAGGTGCTCCAGCCAGAGCCGCAGGGAGTGCAGGAGAGGTTGGTATCAGAGCGGCCTGTGCGACACCCGGCCCTGCCCCCCAGCCCCTTCTGCTCCTCTCACAGCTCCATTGATTGATATTGGCTGCCTCGAGCTCAGTGACGACTCCTGGGACCTGGGATTGATTACCGATGCCTGCCATGAGCACAGGCTGAAGAATGGTTTAGAATCTATTTCTGTCTGTCGTGACTGGAAAAGTCATTCTCAACCCTGGCTGTGCTGGAAATCAGAAAAAGTATTTAAGCTAGGATCACACCCTGAAAAATTCTGGTTCCCCACCCTTTGGGGTTTATTTCCTGAAAGTTCCACAGGCAATTCAAAAGAGCAGGTAGGCTTGGAAACGACCGAACAAGACAATTCTTTCCAAACTAGAACTTCATTTATTCATTCGCTCAACAATTCTTAAGTGGTGTCGTTCAGAGGTTACCACGTGAGGTAGAAGCCTGAAGAAAGCCTTCAGAAGCAGCAGAACGAGGCCCCACATGCTAGTCGCTCAGCGAGTATTGACTAAGCACCTACCGTGTCTGCCCTAGTCCAGCACCTGGGGATACAGCACTTCACCACGGAGCCCGACCCTGCCCTCGAAGGCTTTCACTGCCCGGATGCAGAGATCTGGGACTGACACACTCCCCCCTCCACATCCAACCTGCCTTTGAGAACTCCCTTTCATGTCTCTTATGTAACTGTCTGGCAAAGGACTGGCACGTCTTTGTAGGTTTTTAACACATTTACTGAATGCTTGCTTTGTCAGGCCTGTAGTCCACATGCTGGGGATGTTACTGCCATCTCGCATCTTGCAATCTGTGTATTCTTTCTGCCTGGAGGGAGGTGACAGGAAAGTTGGCCAACTCTAGCCCGGCCAGCGTGGCTCAGTGGTTGAGCGTGGCCCTATGAACCAGGAGGTCACATTTTGATTCCCGGTCAGGGCACATGCCCGGGTTGCGGGCTCAATCCCCAGTGTGGGGTGTGCAGGAGGCAGCCAATCATGATTCTCTCTCATTGATGTTCCTCTCTGCCTTTCCCTTCCTTTCTGAAATCAATAAAAATATATTTTTAAAAAGAATATTTCTTTTAAAAGAAAGAAAGTTGACCAACTCTGGAAACTATACGGTTGTAAAGAGTCCCCAAGCCCGAGGCAGCTGATCAATGATTCTCTCTCATCATTGATGTCTCTCTCTCTCTCCGTCCATCTTTCTCTCTGAAATCAATAAAAATATATTTTTTAAAAGAATGATTATTTCTTTTAAAAGAAAGTAAGTTGGCCAACTCTGGAAACTATACAGGTGTAAAGAGTCCCCAAGCCCATCCTGTCATTCTAGGGACAAAATACTCAGGAAGCTCGTAAGACCCTGGATTTAGTGTTACAGAACTTACCAGGCGACTGAAAAAATACACAGGGAGTACTCAGAGACCAGGGAAAAACCCGTTTACTTTCAGATGCACTAGTACAATGACTCAGGGTCGGTTCTCCAAATCCTGAGAGTGAATATGGAGGAGGCTTTCCCTTTATACCCTTTGGTTTCTTTGTTTTCTGTTTCCTAACTACCAGGCTGTTGTGGGGGCTTCCACAGCCCCTCCTGAGTCAGTCAGAATGGGGAAGGTACGTTGTATCTAAATGCGTGGTCTGGGTGGTGCAGGTGACCTCTCTTCTAGCTAAGCTGTTACATTCTCTGTTTATGGCCCCTCTGGTAAACTGGGAGTATTCTGGGAAACAGGTTCTGCAAGACAGGGCAGGCATCAATGGAGTTAATATCGGCTGGCAAGAGTGTGGTCAGAAGGCAGGTTACTGGCACAAACTCAGATTGCTAGGCGCCCCCCCACCCCACACACACACCCAAATGTCTTATGTCCCCTTCATTAGAAACACCTGGTCCACTCCTTTCTAGCCTATCAGTCAAGGGACTTCCTCTCCCTGAGCCTCAATTTCACCCTCTATAAAGTGGGCTAATACACCTCTGCAGGATTGTTGCAAGGTTATCGAGGTAAATTTGGGAAGGATGTGTGGCACATAGTGCCCAGCGAATGCTGGGTAACAATAGGATGGTTGTGAGGATTCAATGGGATAATCCAGCCACCGTGACTGGCACAAAGCCATTCAGTGAAGGAGGAGGTTATTTGTGAGGACAGATAGCTAGACCTTTCTTTCTTTGGGGTAAGAAGAATGCATTTCACCATTTTATTTTATATATATATTCAATGTTTTAATTAGAAACAACTTGAAACCATCAAGATGTTGGTTTGAAAAAATTAATTCAAAGCTAAATGGAAAGTAATCAGCCAGTTTCTCAATTAGAATTGATATTCTGGGATGAGTAGCAGGATGTCTAGATATAGATGAGACTCTCATCTAATATTCAGAGCTATTCCTGAGAGCCAATTGATTAGCTGAAGCAACAGGCACTTCCTTTCATAAATGTATTTTTGTTGACTTCAGAGAGGAGGGGAGAGGGAAAGAAACATCACTGATGAGAGAGAGTCACTGATGGGCTGCCTCCTGCACGGCCCTCGGGGGATCTAGCTGGAAACCCGGGCATGTGCCTGACCGGAATGAAACCTTGACCTCCTGGTTCATAGGTAGATGCTCCACCACTGAGCCACACAAGCCGGGCCATTTCACCATTTTAAAAGTGATGTGACTGACAAACTATTGGTGCGGTCTTATTTGGGTTATAATACTACTTACTAGGTGTGTGATCTTCCTTTTACCTCTGTGTGCCTCAGTTCCTTCATGCATAAAGCACAGTAACTACCTCAGACTGCTTGTGAGTTTTAAATAAATCGATAGATGGGAAGCGCTTAGAACAAACAGTTCCTGACATATATTAAGCTTTATTGTGGGAGTTATCTACCGTCCACATAGCGCGCAGGCGCGTTGGGGCTAAGTCTCAGGGGAGGCCTGGCGGCCATCTTGGTAAAGGGCAGCGACGCAGCTGTGACGTCGTCAGTCTGCGCGACGAGCGGGCACCCCGAGGCCCCGGTCGCTTCGGGAGCGTGGGGTGGGGCAGGGCGGGCCGCGCGGGGCTGCGGGAGTGAGTGGCTGGGGCGCGCGATGGGGGAGGTGGCCGCGGCCGCGGAGCCCTGCCCGCTGCGCGAGGACAGCTTCACGCGCTTCTC